ATACAGATTAGAGTGAAAATAAATGAAATAGAGAGTAAAAAGACAACAAAAAGGTCAGTAAAACTAGGAGCTGATTCTCTGAAAAGATAAACAAAATACATGAACCTATGAACTTTTAGTTAGATTCCCCAAGAAAAAAAGAGGGTTCAAATAATCAGAAATGAAAGAGACATTACAACTAAAACCACAGAAACACAAAGGATCATAAGAGATTACTATGAGCAATTATATGCCAAGAAATTAGACAATCACAAGAAATGGATAAATTCCTAGAAACATACAACCTTATAAGACAAAAAAAAAAAAAAAAGAAAAAAAAAGAAAAGAAAATCTGAATAGACTGATTATTAGTAAGGAGATAAGGAGATTGAATCAGTAATCAAAAACCTCCCAACAAACAGAAGTCCAGCACCAGATGGTTTCATTAGTGAATTCCAAAAATTTGAAAAGGCGGAAACACTTCCAAACACATCTTACAAGGCCAGCATTACCCTCATGCCAAAACCTAACAAGGACACCATAGGAAAGGAAAATTACAGGCCAATATCTGTGATGAATATAGATGTAAAAATCCTCAACAAAATATCTGCAAACTGAGTTCAACAATATATTAAAGGGATGATACACCATGATCAAGTGGGATTTAGTCCAGGGATGCAAGGCTGATTCAACATCTGCAAATCAATCAATGTGATACACCACATTAACAAAATGAAGAATAAAAATCATATGATCATGTAAATAGACGCAGAAAAAGCACATAACAAAATTCAATATCCTTTGATGATAAAAGCTCTCAACAAAGTGGGTCTAGGGGGAACGAATATACCTGAATTTAATAAAGACAATATATGACAAGCCCACAGCTAATATCATACTCAGCTAATAAGCTCAATGGTGAAAAGCTGACAGCTTTTCCTTTAAGATCAAGAACAAAACAAGAATGCCCGCCCACTCTACCACTTTTATTGAACATAGTATTCTAAGTCCTAGCCAGAGCAATAAGGTAAGAAAACGAAATAAAAGGCACCCAAATTGAAAAAGAAGAAATAAAACTGTCACTATTTGCAGATGACATGATTTTATATACAGATAAACCTAAAGACTCCACCAAAAACTGTCAGAATAAACAAATTCAGTAAAGTTGCAGGATACAAAATTGATGTACAAAAATCTGTTGTTTCTATATAATAACAACTATCAGAAAGAGAAATTAAAGAAATAATCCCATTTACAATGGCATAATAAAGAATAAAATACCTAGGATTAAAATTAATCAAAGAGGTAAAAGACCTGTGCACTGAAAACAGTAAGACACTGCCGAAAGAAAGTGAAGATAGATAAATGGAAAGGTATTCCATGCTTATGGATCGAGAGTCAATACTGTTAGAATGTCCATACCATCCAAAGCAATCTACAGATTCCATGCAACCCCTATCAAAATTCCAATGGCATTTTTCACAGAAATAGAACAAGCCATCCTAAAATTTGTGTGGAACCACAAAAGACCCCAAATAGCCAAAGCAAACTTGAGAAGGAACAATAGTAGAGGCATTGTGATCCTGATTTCAAACTCTATTACAAAGCTGTAGTAATCAAAACCGTATGGTGCTGGCATAAAAACAGACACATAAATCAATGCAACAGAATAGAGAGCTCATAAATAAACTCATACGTATATATAGTCAATAAAGCTATGACAAAAAAAGCAGATGATACAATGGGAAAGGACAGTCTCTTCAGTAAGTGGTACAGGGAAAACTGGACTGGCATGTACAAAAGAATGAAACTAGATTACTATCTCACACAAAAATTAACTCAAAATGGATTAAAGACTTGAATGTAAGCCCTGAAGCCATAAAACTCTTTGAAGAAAACATAGGTGGTAAGCAACTTGACACTGGTCTTGGCAATGATGTTTTGAATTTGACTTCAAAAGCAAAGTAAACAGAAGCAAAAACAAACAAGTGAAACTACATCAAACTAAAAAGTTTATGCACAGCAAAGGATATCAACAAAATGATAAAGCAACCTGCTTTTTTAGAGAAAATGGGAGAAAACATCTGTAAATCATATATCCAATAAGGGATTAATATCCAAAATATATAAAGAACTCATAATTCAATAGCAAACAAAACAAAACAAAAAACCCAAATATGATTGAAACATGGGCAGAGAACCTGAATAGACATTGTCTCAAAGACATACAGATAGATGGTCAACATCACTAATCACCAGGGAAATGAAAATCAAAACCACAATGAGATAGCACTTCACACCTGTTAGAATGTCTATTATCAAAAAGACAAGAAATAACAAGTATTGGTGAGGAAGTCGACTGTTGGTGAGAATGTAATTGGTGTACCCACTATAAAAAAATAGTATGCAGGTTCCTCAAAAAATTAAAATCAGAACTACCGTATGATCCAGCAATTCTACTTCTTTGGGTATTTATCCAAAGAACACAAAAACATTAATTTGAAAAGATATATGCACCCCCATGTTCATGGCAACATTACTGTAATAGCCAAGATATGGAAACAACCTAAGTGTCTATCAATGGATGAATGGATAAAGAAAATGTAGTATATACTACAGTGGAATACTACTCAGCCATTTAAAAAAAATGGAATCTTGTCAGTTACAACAAAATGGATGGGCCTTGAGGGCATTATGCTAAGTGAAATAAATCTGACAGAGAAAGACAATATATGATTTCACTTATATGTGGAACCTAAAAATAAACAAAGAAAAACAAAAAACAAAAAAGAGGGCTCATAGATAGGAAGAAAGACTGGTGGTTGCCAGAGGGGAGGGGGTACAGGGGGTGAGCGAAATGAGCGAAGGGGATCAAAAGGTACAAACTTTCAGTTATAAAGTAAATAAATCCTGGGGATGTAATGTACAGCATGGTGACTATACTTAATAATACTATAATGAATATCGAAGAGTTGCTAAGAGAGTAAATCTTAAAAGTTCTCATCACAAAAAAACTTGTAACTATGTATGGTTACAGGTGGTAACTAGATTTATTGTGGTGATAATTTTGCAGCATATACACATATCGAATCATGATGCTGTATACCTGAAATTAATATATGTTTATCAATTATACCTCAATTTTTTAAAAAAAGTCTCCCATTGCTCAAATTTGGGACAACTGAGCATTAAAAACAAACATGAAGTAACCCCAAAAGCTGGAAACAATGTACTAATAACACACTGAATTTTTAAAAATTCTAGTAGTCCATAGTGATCTATATATACCACGTAAAAATGGGTTGAGAGGAGGGATAGCTATTATTTATAGAAGAGTGCTATTAATCATTTGGAAGAAATGGCTGAATTAGAAAATCACATTTTGCAACTGGCAATGTAATAAAGCAAGGATCATTAGTGGATGCTAAAAACTTTGAATAAATGGTTTTCAGGGAATAGAATAGTCATATGGCCTCTAAGTATCAATTCACAGATTACTTACTAATTGAAAAAATATACCTTTAAAATAGAGAGATCTGATAGATAGCACCTTAACCAGACTGAAGATCAGTAATGAGACAATGTTTAATCTGAATCTAATCATGAGTAAACAATCAGGCAACTCTAAACTGTGGATCATTCTAAAATTAAAAAACCTGGACTGGATCTTTCAAAAAATGTCAGTATCATGAAAGGGTAAAGAAAAGAAAAAAAAAAAAAGGCTGAGGAACAGTTCTGATTAAAAGGGATTAACATACAAGATAACCAAGTGGAACATGTGATTCCTGACTGGATCCTGAACGGGGAGAAAAACATCTATAAAGAATATTTGAGGACAGCTGGAGAAATCTGAGTAATTGACTATACATTAGATAACATTATTGTATAAATGTTAAATATATGAAGTGAGAGAATGGTGTTGCTCTTATGCAGAACATTCATGGTTTTAGAAGATATATGCAGAAACATTCAGGCATGAGGTCATGATAGCTTCAACTAACTTTCAAATGTTTGAAAACAAAGTATATGTATGTGTATGTAGAGATAAGGCAAAAGTGGCTAAATGATGATAATTTGTGATTTTAGGTAAAAAATATATAGGTGTTCAATATACTGTTCCCGCAACTTTTCTGCAGGTTTGAAATCTTTCAAAATGAAGTTGTTGTGAAGGAAGGAATGGGAACAACCAAAAAGACCATCAATACGAAACAGATTCAGTAAAATGAGACGCAATAAAACTTGATGCAGGTATTTAAAAAAACAAGGAAACTCTTCACATACACATTTGGAACCCTTAACAAGATATTCATTTAAGAAATAATAGCCAAGTACAAAACTGTGTGTACAGTATGCTACCATTTATATTAGAAAATGGAGAAAAATATTTTCATATTGACTTTATAGGCAAACGAAACAAAATAAACCCATGAAAGGATAAACTGGAAATAACAGTGCTTGTGTGTTGAGAATATATAGGAGCCGGGTGAATGTGGTATACATATGGGACACTTCTGTCTGGCTTTATATAAAATATATTTTATGTGTTAAAAAGATCTGCTCTTGTCGTTATTCTTTTAAATTAGAAATTTTTAACACAAGGTTTGAGTTAGGAAAGTGGAGGCAGGGGCTAGAGAGTTTTGTCAGTAAACAGAATAAAAGAAACTCAAAAAAGAAGTTAAGAAGGTTTGAAATTTAAGACTTTAGGAGACATTCGTGCATGCTTAAATATCGAGGGAACAATGGCACAATGAAAGCCCCAAAAAGCTCTAAGGGATAGGATTCAAGGGTCATGGAGAAGTATAAAATGAGATGGGAAAGGTATAAAAACAATGTTTAGAAAATCTCTTCCTGAAGATGGCCTCTGCAAAGAAGTGATGCCAAAAAGGTCAGTGTTCTTGACAGACTGGGATGTCTTTGTGGAAAGTGACTTGGCCATATTTAAAAATATATCTCAGCACACTTACTTAGGATAATATAGGCTCTTAAGTGTGAAAATAGTCATCTGCTGGTTATTCTCTCACCTGGACTAGGGCCTTCTAAGATTTCTTTTATCACCATCCATGGTTCTTCCAATATGGGAATCACAGTTGGTCTGTACACTGTAAGTCCTGTTCAGGAGGAATATAATGAGTTTTATCCTGGAGATAAACATTTGTTCAAATTTTATTACCTGACTTATGACAGACTTCTACAAGAAAACAATGGTTTGTGGACATGACCTAATGAACAGGTTGTTGTCCTTTTCAGACTAGGATAAAAGTTTCCTGCCAACCTGGAAGATATGTGCACAGAGATCATCGGATAAGTAGAAAATGGGCAAGGCACAGCATCAGGTGGTGGCCCTGTGAAGCTGTGCATCATAGTTTTTCAATAATATTTCACTTAGAAACCTTTCATTTGGGAAAAGGAGTAGAATATAGCCATTTCTGTGCCCAAACGGGATGCGCAAACTCATCTCTAGGCCCCATTCTTAGCAAAGTACTTTAGAAGTCTAACCCACTTTTTAACACAGGAAAGATACTCTGGTGGGTATGCCTGCTGGGAGGAGAGGGTGTAGATGCTTACCTAGAGAAACCATGTTCCAATAGTTCTGTAATGTCACAGTCTTGTACAATTCCTTCTGTACAGGACGCATCAGCTCCCAGTCCTCCTGGGTGATATCCACAGCCACATCTTTGAATGTCATTGATTCCTAAAACATCAAATATAACTTAACTTGGTTCAAGAAATAGTAGGAAGGGAATAGTGGTAATACCAGGTGTGTTTGTGGTGGAGAAAATCATAGAATCTTGAGTTTTAGTAGGACCCTAATGGTTATCTAGTAAAAATCTTGACCCAGTGTATGGATGAGCAAACCTGAATGGCCCTAATTCTGAAAATAAAGAATTAATCATTTTCAGTTGCCACTAGTACATTTATTGGTGGTGCAATCCTAAAGAAGAAAGGATTGTGAATATATATGACACAGAGCTGAATGATTTTGCTTTTCAAGCTTTGCCTTAAGAATAAATTCAACGTGTCATAATTTGAAATTGAAAGGTATTATGTGTACTCTATGATAAAATGAAGAGCCCTTCCTTTTTTTTTTCCATACTGTCGAACTGCTGTACTTTTAAATATATTTTGTATCTTTGTTGTTCTTTGTTCTGTTAAAAATATTGATTATTCTTACATGTTTTTCAAATAACGTTTCTTTAAAAAAATTATATTGGGTTTTGAAACACATTAAGCTTATAATTTAAGAACTGACAGTTTTACAATATTCGAGACTTCTTTCATGTCCTATAAAATGATACAGGGCATGAAGATACTGCAAAATTTAGAGGATGCTTAGTCCTAGCTCTTTAAATCTGAGAGGACAATACTGTCAATGGAATCTTTTTATTTAGAGGATGCTTAGTCCTAGCTCTTTAAATCTGAGAGGACAATACTGTCAATGGAATCTTTTTATTTCATTTTTCTATATTTTTATGTACATGTAAAAAAATGATTAACCTTTGTATGCCATTTTCTGTAGCAGTCACTTTATTATTGTTTTTAACAGTTTTACCCTTGAGTTTATTAGTTTTTTCAGGTCAATGTTCATAATACCTATAAATAATAACTTTATACCAGTTCCCGGTTTAAGACCATGCATATTTTTATAGCAAACTTTTAAGGTGGCCTGAGTTGCTCTTCCTTAAAATAACAGACTCATGAGCAATAGTATTACCACACGGCCTTTAATTACTTGTTAATGAGGAAAAATATTAGTAACTACTTTTTATCCTACTGTGATCTTATTGATCCAGGCTAACAAGTCTCATATTTAATCCTCAGAATTTAAGAATATTTTTAAATATTAGAGTTGAATAACTCAGGCTAATAGTGGTTAAGTATCTTGCACCAAATTACATGTTCAATGGCAGAACTAGGAACTCCACCTAGATCCATCTGGCTGTGTAGATCAATCCTTTAACCTCAATGTGATATTGCTGCCTTAAAGTCAAAAAGTGAGGAAAGGCATATCAAAGGAAGGCAATACATCCCATTTCTTACAGGGGGCAATCACTGACCTTAACAGGCCAAGGTGACCTAAGGAGAAAAACTGACACTTAGGTCCTTGATAGGACTTCTGGGGTCAGAGAAGTTAGAGGGACAGGATAGAAAATGTCTTCACACACCATGAAGACATTTTAAAATCACAGAAGAAACTAAAACTCACTTTGGTTACCAAGTCATTTAGCCACCCTGCCCGGAAAGTATGTCTTCCTTTGGGGTCTTCCTCTGGGGTCTCTTGGGAAAGGGCAGAGTTCTGAGGAGCAGCTAGGGAAGAGAAAGAGACCAAGGTGGAGATTAGTGCTATTTGAACAGCCTAGGAAAACATCACCAAATAGATATCTACACTTTCTTAAAGTGAGAAGTCAGAGGAAACCAAACACAGCACCCCTACTTTAAAGAAT